TCAACATTAAATTTTTGTTGCCCAGTCACCCATTTTTGTGAGATCCTTTTGTAGCTCTTCACAGTCTGCTCGGGACTGAACTATCTTGAGTACGGTAATTTTGTATAATCTGCAAATTTTGCCACCTCACTGTTTACCCCTTTTCCCAGATCATTTATGAATATGTTGCATAGGCGCTGACTCCATGGGTGCTCCAGCAATTAGTGGGTGCTCAGCACCCACCAGCAGCCATGCTCCCTCCTCTCCCTCCAGTGTGACAGATTTTTGTTATCAATTTGCCTGAGGCCACAGTTGATTAGGCTGGGGCCACAGGATTTTTTTGGGGAGGAGATGATGAGGTGCACACCAAGTGTTTAAATTTTAAAGCTTTATTGATAAAATAATAAAATAACAGCAGAAAGTGCTGGGATAGCTCCCATATCACTCAGGGGAAGAAAGAAAGTGTTAATGCCCCAAGCCCTGACCCACTTTTATACTCACACATGCATGACCCAGACTGGCCAAGTCTGAGTGTAACATCAGAAGAAGATGCGGGGCGGGGGGGGGGGGGGGGGGGGTTTGTTTAGGGAACTTTGCTTTTGGTGCTTTTTGTGCCAGTCCAAACTGGCTTTCTGTGGTCTCTTCAACTTTCCCCAAAACACACCAGTTTCAGGGCCATGAGACAGTTCTGTTTGTTCCTGGCTGGCCTTTGCCATTTTGCTCCTTTTTCCGGCCCCTGCATTTTGTTTAACAACTTTTTTTTTTTATGGTGGGGGAGGAGGGAGGGTTGGACTTTCCCCTTTGGCTGGAGTCAGCTTTTTATTTTTGGACTAAGCTTGCTAGCTGCAGTGTTGAGTTAACCCGTTTTTTGCTCCCCCCCCCCCTTCGGCCTCTTGTAAACCTGCAAAGGAATTTTCCACTTTTTATTTACACACCTTTAACCCTCCCCAAAATGCTTTGCGATGCTTGTAACAGTGTTAGCAATATACAGTGCTGATTTACTTTTTTAGGGGACTCCCTAAGGGGAGGGGGCTATTGGGTTGTGACACCAGTGCCTCTAGCCCGCCAGTGGCCCCGCTGATCAAATCCTCCCCTTCCTCCCAGCACCTCCCACCTGCCGGGAACAGCTGTTTTGTGGCATTCAGGAGGCTCGGGGGGGGGGGAAGGAACGGGGACAGGGAGTGCATGGGGGAGGAGGTGGAAAGAGGCAGGGCGGGGGCGGAGTGGATGTGGGGACTTGGGGGGAGGGGTGGAGTGGGACCGGGGTGGAACAGGGGTGGGAAGAGGCAGGGCAGGGGCTTGGGGGAAAGGGTGAAGTGGGGGAAGGGCCTGGGTGGGGAAGGGCCTGGGGTGGTAGTGGGGAGTCTAGCACCTGCCCACTAGAGGGGAAGTCAGCACCTATGATAAGTTAAAAAGCACTGGTCCCAGTACAGACCCTTGGGGGACACCACTATTTACCTTTCTCCATTCTGAAAAACTGACCATTTATTCCTACACTTTGTTTCCTATCTTTTAACCAGTTACCAATCCATGAGAGGACCTTCCCTCTTATCTAATGACAGCTTACTTTGCTTGGGAGCTTTTGGTGAGGGAGCTTGTCAAAGGGTTTCTGAAAATCTAAGTATACGATATCCACTGGATCCCCTGTAGCATTCTATACCTTGGGGGAGCCCCCCTGTAACTCCCATATTCCTCATTTGTATATAATTGTGATATTGCATATAAAGCATGCCATGTGAGGTATCAGGGAAAGGTTATGATCAGCTGAAAGTCACTGTTCTATCTAAATATGTATATCTTTAGTGCTTCTGAAGTTATGAGATTGTATTATATAGTTATCACTAAAACGTGCTGTAAGTTGGGGAATGGGCCTGATATTAGCTCCCCAGAGACAACAGCAAAGAAAGTAACCAACGCCCAGGCGGGTGTCAAACAACCATCAACAGCCATTGTCCAGCCAGGGAGTTATAATTCAATGACTCACCTGCATGAGGCCACACCAGGGGAATTGCTCAACCTTGCCTGGGGACTCATCAATGCCCACCAGTCATGCCTGGACTTGTATTCTCCAAGCACAAGGGACTGAAGATATAAAACAGAACACAGGAGCCCCATGCTTGGCCTTTCTCCAACTATGATGCAAGCAACCAGGACACTGAGAAGACTGAAGACTCCAACAGAGGAGACTGGCCCAGGTTTCAAGGGTGAAACCTGTATATTATGAACTGCAGTATCAAATAGGGTGAGAAAAACTGCTTAAGCTAGTTGTTGCCCAGTCTAGTAGGTTGAGAGTTTAGTCTGTGTGCTTATATTTTATTTCTTTTGGTAACTAACTCTGACTTTTTGCCTATCACTTATAGTCATTTAAAAAAATCTCTCTTTTCTAGTCAATAAACTTGTTTTGCTGTTTATCTTTACCAGTGAGTTTGCCTAGCCAATGTATACGCACTTTCTATAGATGAAGTGGTGAACCAACTCATAAATTTCCATTGCTCAACAAAGGGTCTTTTTTTCCCCACATATAGTGCCACTCCCCAACCAGTGTGACCTGTTCTGTCCTTCTGATATATTTTGAACCCTGCTATTACTGTTCCCATTGATTATCCTCATTCCAACAAGTTTCTGTGCTGCTTATTATATCAATATCCTCATGTAATGCAAGGCACTCTAGTTCACCTATTATTTAGACTTCTAGCATTTGTATATAAGGACTTTAAAAACTTGTCACCTTTTAGCTGTCTGCCATTACATGATGTAATTGAATGGGACTCTTTTGTTTGACTGTTTCTGATCAGATCCTACCCGTATTTTATCATCTTCCATCCTCGCCTCCTTACAAGGACATAGAGAATCTCCATTAATAGATCCTCCCCTAAGGAATGTCTCTGTCCAAATCACATGCTTCTCCACACCTGTCGGCTTTCCTCTAACCCTTAGTTTAAAGGCTGCTCTATGACCTTTTTAATTTTAAGTGCCAGCAATCTGGTTCCATTTTGGTTTAGGTGGAGCCCATCTTTCCTACATAGGCTCCCCCTTTCCCCAAAGTCTCCCCAGTTCCTAATAGATCTAAACCCCTCCTCCCTACACCATTGTCTCATCCACGCATTGAGACCCTGCAGTTCTGCCTGTCTGAGTGGCCCTGCGTATGGAACTGGAAGCATTTCAGAGAATACTACCATGAAGGTCCTGGACTTCAATCTCTTACCTAGCAGCCTAAATTTGGCCTCCAAGACCTCTCTCCTATCCTTCCCAATGACTTTTGTACCTACATGTACCACAACCACTGGCTCCTCCCCAGTACTACACAAATCTATCTAGATGTCTCGAGAGATCTGCAACCTTTGCACCAGGCAGGCAAGTCACCTATGGTTCTCCCAGTCATTGCAAACCCAGCTATCTATGTTTATAATTATCGAATTGCCCATTACTAATACCTTGCTCTTCCTAATAACTGTACTTCCTTCCCCTGGAGAGGTATCCTCTGTGCGAGATGATACCACGACATCATCTGGAAGGAAGGTCCCAACTATGGGATCGTTTTCCTCTGCTCCAGTTGGATATTTTCCTTCCCTGAGACTTTCATCCTCCTCAACAGCACAGAGGCTGTCAGACTGGGGGAGGGGCCAGTCTACTGTGTCCCAGAAAGTCTCATCTATGTACCTCTTTGTCTCCCTGTAATAATGCTGCCCTTGGTGGGACACTTCTGAGTGTGTCAATTCAGGACAAATTACTTAAAGCAGGGCAGTTACAGCTCAAGGCTGGGGTTCCTTTGCACACCAAGGCAAACCAAACCAGCCAAACAGAGACGACTTCGGTTTTATCCCATTGGCTAACCACAAGTCACACAAGCAATTCCCTTAGGTACTCCAGTTTCCCAGTATCACCACCAGTGCCACTCGTTATGGGGACAAATGGTTATGAAATCCAATATCCCAGTAAAAGGAAAAAGGTTCTCCCGATCCCAAAGGACCAAGCCCCAGACCCAGGTCAATATACAAATCAGATCTTACCCACAAATCACACTGTTGCCAATCCTTTAGAATCTAAAATCTAAAGGTTTATTCATAAAAAGAAAGAAATATAGATGGGAGCTAGAATTGGTTAAATTGAATCAATTACATACACTAATGGCAAAGTTCTTCAAAGGCTTGTAACAGTGGTGGAATAAACTGCAGGTTCAAATGAAGTCTCTGGAGTACATCCACAGCTGGGATGGGTCATTCAGTCCTTTGTTCAGAGCTTCAGTTTGTAGCAAAGTCCCTCCAGAAGTAAGAAGCAGGATTGAAGACAAGATGGAGGAGCTGCAGCAACCTTTTATAGTCTCGTCATGTGGCCTTTCTTTCTTTGTTCCAATGACAAGCATTCCAGCACATGGCATGAAAAAACCTTAGAGTTCTGTCCATAGGCATGTCCCTGCATGCCTTGCTGAGTCACCAGCTGTATCTGCCTTCTCTCAATGGGTCAGTTATATAGCTGATGGTCCTTAACGGGCCATCAAGCAGGCTAGGCAGTGCTGATGCCATATTATCTGGGGTGCCCTAGGAAGAAGTACGGTGGAAAGGGATCTGGGGGTTATAGTGGATCATGAGCTAAATATGAGTCAACAGTGTAACTGCTGCAAAAAAAAAAAAAAAAAAGGAACAGCGTTCTAGGATGTATTAGCATGAGTGTTGTAAGCAAGACATGAGAAGTAATTCTTCTGCTCTTCTCCACACTGATTAGGCCTACACTGGAGTATTGTGTCCAGTTCCGGGCATCACATTTCTGGAAAAATGTGGATAAATTGGAGAAAGTCCAGAGAAGAGCAACAAAAATTATTCAAGGTCTAGAAAACACAGCCTATGAGAGAAGATTAAAAAAAATGGGTGTGTTTATTCTGGAGAAGAGAAGATTAAGAGGGGACATGATAAAGTTTTCAAGTACATAAAAGGTTGTTACAAAGAGAAGGGAGAAAAATTGTTCTCCGTAACATCTGAGGATATGACAAGAAGCAATGGGCTTAAATTGCAGCAAGGGCAGTTTAGGTTGGACATTAGGAAAAAACTTCCTAATGGTCAGGGTAGTTAAGCACTAGAATAAATTGCCTAGGAAGGTTACGGAATTTTCATCATTCGAGATTTTTAAGAATGGGCAGGGGACTGGACTAGATGACTGCTCGAGGTCCCTTCCAGTCCTACGATTCTATGACTATCAAATTCTAAAATAGAAAATAAATGAAAACAGTTGGTTAATAATATAGAATGGATGAATGTTATACTCAGTTTTATAGCATTGAAAAAACCCCATGAGCATTAACCACTATGGTATTCATTTAATTATGTACAATATTAACAGTATCCACATGTTGTTTACCCTAATTAAAATTCACAAGTAGTAGAATTGAACAGCTAAATTTGAGTTTCAGATAACCAAGTATCAATTCAATGAAGTAACTATATTACAACATCTACAATTCAACTTGATATTAAAACTTTTAAACTACAAACGATTTTGGACAAAACTAGATAGGTTGAATAGGACAGTGGAACAGAAAGTAGTGTCAGCTTAACACAAGCTAGCAAAACCATTAGTACTTCTTAAAACAGAAGTATAAGAAGATAGTCTGAGGCTAAGCATGATTCTTAAGGCAAATTCACAGTCATTGGATACTACAGCTTGAAATTCAGCACTGTTTAGACACATACGCACAATAACTGGGATAGAAGAATCACCCAATGCGATTATTATGCAACAGTGCAGAATAGATCAGATTAGCTCTGATTTGGAGGAGTTAATAGGCAATTTTACAAGTGTGAAAGTTCAGAAAGCAATTTGATTAACGAAGATATTCCAATTAAAGTTAATCAAGCAGTTTAAGTGGTTGTTCTCAGAGAGCCGATAGGCAGAGAGTATTGCAAGGAGATCATGGTATATGAGTTAATTGGCAGAAGAAAGAGAGCTTATTAAAGGTGATTCCATACACCAATGGGTCAACACTGTAATGTCCAAATATAGAAAGAACTATTGCAAAATACCCTGCTTTTGGGATTTAGGGCCTAGTCAAGTTCCCACACAAAGGTTGGAATAAGACTAGTATGGAGTGGAAGGTATGAACATATAAGATAACTCTAATTTAAAATGCACAACACAACTGAAGCAAGCATAAAAGTATTCTAAAGTTTAGAACACACACCAATAAAGAATGAGATGAGATTTTGAAGTTAAAAGTAGATTCTTAGTCATTCACATAGTGTAATGTTACAAGCAAGCAAGGATCTTTCTCTCACTGGTAAATGGGTACCCTTACCACCAAATTATAGTCACACTTACCATTTCTGTCTCTGGCCCAATGACTCCAAGTATTTGTATACAGTGGAACTTCTTCGCTAGTAGAGACTGAGGGAGTCACATAGCAAAATATCCCATAGCTCAGTGGCTGGGGTATTCCTCTGAGAAGGGTCAGATCCCTGTTCAAATCTCTTTGTCTCATCCACTAGAGGGAGGACTTGAATTGGTGGTCTACTGTATCCTGGGTGAGTACCCTAACCACTGGCATAAAAGTTATGAGGGAGGACCTTCTCCCCCAGTGTCTTTTTGGTGGAGTTAGGTAGCCTCTGCACCTGTCTACAGGCCCAGGACCCATCTGCAGGTCAGTGACTAACTCCCCTGATTCATGAATTGCAGACAGAGAGGTGCCTATCTTTGTGAGAGGGGTGGGGCTTAGGACATACCTAAAAAAGTACGTGTTGTGAGGCTTGGTGTCACCACACTTAAGTCCCTGGGTGAATGCTGGTTTGGACCACTATCAAGAAGAAATGAGAAGTCACAGCATATAAGATACACATGCAGTCCTGTGGCACCTTATAGACTAACAGATGTATAGGAGCATGAGCTTTCGTGGGTGAATACCCACTTCTTCGTATTCACCCACGAAAGCTCATACTCCTATACGTCTGTTAGTTTATAAGGTGCCACAGGACTCCTTGCTGCTTTTACAGATCCAGACTAACACGGCTACCCCTTTAATACAAGATACACATGGTTCGAGGTGTGTAACACCAAGCTTAAATGTAGCAACTGAACAGAGGATGCGAACAGAGTAATTAAATCCCATCACAATGTGGGAATTTTACCTCAGCCTCTGCTCGGCTCTGTTCCAGGAAGGTGACTTCATCCTCTGCCTTAGTAACTATGGCATATCCTTGTTACATGGCCACTCTAGCCTGGCCTAACCCTCTGAGATTTGTGGGAATTGGCAAAGGTGTCATTCACTTAGCCCATCACTAACCAGGACACTGCTAGGGTTCTGTGTGGATTCTCTTATGTATACGGAGGTTTAAGCTGTGCCGGACAACAGAGGCAGACACAGAGAGGAGAGAAGAGATAGGACAGTGAAGATGGGGGGAAAAATACAGCTTTTGTTGGTGTTCTCAGCATACAGGGGAACTCCTCAGTAATAGATGGATACTTTGGGCTGGCAAGTTGGTCATGACAGCTGTTGCTCCGGACCCCAGTTCACTTCCCCGGTCAGGGACATTGTCTGATTGATCTGGTTGGCTCCCTCTCCTTCACTGGTCCTTCTTAGGATGGGCAGATCTAGGTGGACTGTGTCATCTCACCATGCTGGCATGCAGTGCAGCTCTTTTCAGGATCAAGGTGGAAAGCTGAGAGACTGAGATAGGACAGGAGCATGATGGGGGTGGGGGCAGAAAGGAGCACATGAGGGACGGGAAGACAGAGCAGGAGCTTACATGTATCAGATCGAGGACCTTGCTGGCACAGTGATAATGGTCAAGCATCCCCACTAAAGTATCAGGGTCTGGTGTCACAGAAACAATCCTTCTGCCACAATTGCAGTGATGGGAAAAAAAATCATTCTTCTCCAAGGAAACCTCTTTTTAAGGGCCCCCAAAAGGTAAGGGTGGGTGGAATAATCCAATTAGTCCTAGTTTCTGACACACCAGTTTTGGTTCATTGATTTCTGATGCTCTCCTCCTCTTGTTTAACAATCACAATTTTAATATAGTCTTCATGTGTGGGTACAGGCTAAAGTCTGGGTGCTAGTTCAGCCCAGGCTGGTAACCTATTCACTTTGCAGTGAGGATACAGGCAATATCCTTCGAACACTAACAGTCTTTCAAAGCCTTTCCACAATTCCTCCCCACCCCCCATGTGCCCAGAAGGACAGACAAGTTCTCACAGAATCAAAGAGCGGCTCAGCTCCCTGCAGTGCTAAGAACCATGTGGTGGGTCCCCACAAGTTACAGCACCAATGAGGACACAGTCACTCGGGCAGGGCTTTGCAGAGTGGCTGCTCACAGCCTGGCTAGACTAACCCGTGCTGAGACCCCACTGTCAATCACCTGGGTTCAATATCCTGAGCTTCTCACAGACAACATCCATTCCCACTCACACAGCCAGCCAGACACTGGACATGGATGTCAGAAACACCAGACCTGCTTCCGTCACCTGCCCAGTCAGGCCACTTCTTACTTCAGGCAAAAAAAAAAAAAAAAAAAAATCTTTGCAGAGCTTGCTCTCCTGCTACCCCATGCACCACAGACCCAGAGAAATGGAGGAGCCGCTCTATTCCCACCTGGGCTCAAACACAGACACAGAGTCATCTCAATCCATGAAGCAGCAGCAGCAACCATAATGCTCCATTCCCAGGAACTCCTGAAAATTCTCCCCAATGAAGAGGCCAGGGAGCACAAAGACATATTAGTGAATCACAATAGCCAATTCCTTAATTCTCTGCTGCTTCTGACAGTCTGGCACTGGAGAGCCCCCTTCCCAGCCCTGCAACAGCTAAAGCAGGCATGGAGAAAGCTGGTGATGGGTTGCACACGAGCAGAGAGAGAGAGATCAGAACATGTAACCTAACACCAGTGCTCCCACAGCACCAGGCCAAGAATAGTTATTACAGCAGTACCTGGATTCTCAGTGGGAAATCAGGGCCCCATTGGGCTATCAATGATGCTTATATGACCCCAATGACCACAGTATCTATACATAGTACAGTATAGAAGGCATTATCATTATACCCCCTGTGAAATAGGAGGTTCCATTATCCACATCGTGCCTCAGTCCCCGACATGTACAGACAGTCTAAGGGAGTTGCTCAAATTCACATGGGACATATTAGGCAGAGCAGGGAATTGAACCCAGCTCTCCTGAGTTTCAGTCCCAAACCCTGATCTCCTTGGACTCTGACAGTAGGCACAAGAGATTCACAGAGGCAGAGACAGTCCCAGCTCCAAGGCATTTCAGTGTAAAACGACAAGACAGACAGTGGACGGTTATCTCTATTTCACGGGGGGGGGGGGGGGGGGCAGAGGATCAGAGATAATGAAGCTGGGACCTTTAAAGGGGCCCAGTCACACAAGGGAATGGAAGTTGAAGATTTAATTATCTGGGGCTCCTCTGGGGCCTGCAGCCTCAGTGACTGACAAAAGCTCAGACAGGGAGCTGGTGACAGAGCCTGGAACTGACCCCAGGTCTCCTGAGTCCCAGAGTAGACCCTAAAACATGAGCAGAGCCCTCCTCACTTTTTTCTGCCATAGCAATATACCCCACAGACCACTCCCAGACCATACCTTACTTTATACACTCTCCCTCAGCCCCAGAACCCAGCCCCTCTCACTGCAAGGAACCACCACTTCACCAGACCAGGAACAGACACCAGTAGCAACACCCTTCTTCCAGGAATTCAGCATGTTGGCACAAGGGGTAGCCCTGGAGACATTGACAGCAGCCGGACACAGCCCCATGATTCTGGGTCATGCCCTGACAGCCAGAAGAGTCGAGAACATCTGTGGCCTGCTGCTAATACAGCTGGGGTGGAACATGAGCAAGATGGAGGTGAAGCACATTTGAAAATCTGGCTGTTGGGGACATAGGCAGAGCTGAGTCATGAGACATTGCTCCATCTCTGAGACCGGGGTGAGTATTCCCAGAGGATGCAGCTTGCCTTGGGAAGGGGAAGGAAAGAATAAGTGTGTCTCACATGAAAACCTTGGTTATGGGAAGATCAGCACCATTATGTCCCTGAATCTCTTTTGTCCTGTGGGAGGGAACAGTCTCACCCACACAGGATCTATGGATTATAGGGGCTGATCCCCCTGAAATCTGGGAGACCAACGGACAATACTGCATAGAAGCTGAGACAACCCACAGCTTCTAATGTCCTACGGGACAGGAATCCTTACCCAGCAAGGCCACAGTCTCATAATTCTCCCACATGACGTCCCTGTTCAGGGATCTCTGACCTGAGTCCAGAAGGGCCCATTCCCCCTCAGCGAAATACACAGCCACCTCCTCGAAGCTCACCAGCTCTACTGCAGCCATTTCCTTTCCCCGTCTCCAGAGACAGTCAGATGATCTGGTGCAAAATATGGATGTGATTCTGCCGCCTGTCAGGGTGAGAAGGGCAATTGGGAAAGTTTCAGAAGGGGCTTTAGTGCATTTCACACCTCACTTCCCTACAGGTTCTTTTCCTGCAGACAGTCATTCTAGACTCTGTCATCCTAGGGAAATGCTTGACCAAGACATTAAAAACCAACAACCTAAATTAGGTCCCAAATCCATATACTGTTCTCTCAACCAAGAGTATTGAGAACCACTGCACTAAACTAAAGAGCCATTTGGTATCAACTATTTTCTCTCTGTGAAGATACTTGTACAGTATAATCAAATCACCTTTCAGCCTTTCAACATTTTTTTTTTTAATAATAAACTAAATTGATGGAGCTCTTTAAGTCTTTCACTGTAAGGATTATTCTCCAGCCCTCTAAATTCATATTTATGGCTCTTTTCTGCAATCTCTAAAAAAAAAAAAGTCTACATCAAAACAGATTTTTACAAGATTAGAGAGAGAGAAGTGCATCTGATGTACGAGATCCTTCTCTGTCAAATGTAAATGTTTTAGTCCATATTGTTAAGAAAATAGAGTTGATTAAAAACATTTTTTTAATTGTTAAAATTGTAACTCTTTTCCCCAGACCCTTCTCAAAAACAGGGTAGGTGTTTTTTCCCCCCCAACTTTCAAAAATAGATTCACCCAAGACAGAGACTGTCAACCTAAAGAAGGGCATAGGAATAGTCAGACTGTGTCAGATCCAAGGCCCATCTAGTAACGCTGAACATATTATAAGCATCTGAAAAGGGCCCTTTAGAGACTAAAATTGTGCAGCCGACGTTAACTATCATTGTGCGCTCCAGCTGCAGTAAAACGGCAGAATCGAAGGAACCACTCTGGGGGATCCCCCCTGACACCGTCCCCAGGGCAGCGCATCCCCCCAGCAGCGCGGGGACCAGGCAGAGGCAGGAACTGGCTTTTCCTCTCTCTGCCCCTCCCCAGGAAAGTCAATCTGCCCCGGGGTGCTGCAGCGAAAGGGGCTGGGCAGCGCTGGGAGCCGGGAACCTCCCTCCCCATTTATTGCCCCTGCTGCAATAACTCTCTCCCCCTGCCTTCTCTCCCCCTGCCTCCTCTCCCCTCGGGCTGGGAGACTCGGTCCCTGGCCCGGCCCGGGGCATTCGCTCTCCCGGAGCTGGCTCGGCTCCTGCAGGCGCTCAGGGGAGCAGAGCGGGGGGTGGGGGGGTCAGGGAGAGCAGCAGCTCTGGGACTCGCAGACCCCCGCCCCCCCGGGAGCAGAGCTGGGGCGAGGAGGGGCCATTGGTGCAGAGTCACTTTCCTGCCCGGCCCCAGCCCTTTCCCCCGGGTCTCTCCCCTCACCTGCAGGCTCCGGCTCAGGGGCTGGTGTCGGCAGAGCCCGGGGCTGCCCCAGGAGCTGGGTCCAGCCACCGGAGAAAGTCCTGCCCTGGTTGGGCATAGAGGGGGTTAGTGCAGGTCCCTCCCCTCACAGACCCCGCTGGGGAGCAGCGGTGGCTCAGCCCGGGACAGGTGGAGTGTGAAAAACTGCTCTCTGGCTTAATGTGCTAATTAGGGTGTACTGAGCATGCTCACAAGAACTGAGCATGCTCAGTCCTTCACCCTGCCCATAATTGACAATCAGTGATGCTCCCTCTAATTGTTACAATCCTCTATTAAGAGGAAATTGATACATATGTACACCAGGCAGGGTCGTTTGGAAGCCGAAGACTTTATGCTTCCATCCCACACTACTCTCAAGTTTTAGCAAATTAAGACAAGTTAGCAAATAAGAAAACCTTATGTATCAGTATCTGCTAATGGTAACAATTTGCTACCCTGTACCAGAAGATGGAAAAGCAAGAGGTACCAAATTAGGACAAGTTAGCAAAGAACAACCTCAGGTATCAGTAACTGCTACTGGTAACAATTTGCTGCTACTGGTAGCAAACTACATCAGATTGCAGTTTTTTACAATCCCTTACATATGAGTAACTGCTGCTGATAGCAAATTCCTACAGATAGCAGTTTCTCAAACTACACTATT